TTGTTTTTTTTAGTTCAATTATTTATTTATATTTAGAAACAAAACTGATTATTGTATTCCAGGGTATTATCTTGCATATAGATATCATTATTGCTTTCTCGAGTTATACTTTCAATGCATAATCATAAATAAAAGAATTAAAAAACATTTATATAGACAGGGAATTAGTACTACCCATCTATAATGTACATCCTTATTTTTCCTTGAAAAACTTGGGCAAAAAGTGTGTATTATGCACAGCAAAATATGGTAGTGGGCTAGTATCATGTTTATATGGAGAAGATCTTGAGTTCTGTTTATGACATAGTGAATTTGAGGTGTCCTTGAGATGAAAGAGAAACTTTAAATAGGCAGTTAGATACACGGTCCTAGAATCCAGAAGAGGTATGTTGACTAGAGACAAAAATGAGTGTATTGTCAATCCCAGTGGGTGGTAAATGAAATGACTGATGTGGATGATTACCAGAGAAGAGGGAGAACAGGGCCTAATATCAATTTGTACTTTGCATGCCCTCAAGTTTTCACTTGTATTAATAAAAGTACTTGATTATCAACTGGAGTCTAAATTAGGATATGAAATCATAATTTTTTAAAGATTTTGAAATGCAACAATTCAAAAAGGTTTTTCGGGTTTTCACCTACTTTTCTTTCACATCCCATTTTTAAAGATAAGACCTGTCTCATGGCAGAGCTTGGTGTCCATTGGTTGTGCTTCAAAAAAATGACTTAGGCCCTGGCTGGCATAGCTCAGTGGATTGAGCGTGGGCCTGCAAACCAAAACATCACTGGTTTGATTCCCAGTCAGGGCACATGCCTGGGTTGCAGGCCATATCCCCAGTATGGGGTGTGCTAGAGGCAACCACACATTGATGTTTCACTCCCTCTCTTTCTCCCTCCCTTCCCCATCTCTCTAAAATAAATACATAAAATCTTTTAAAAAATACTATCATTAAGCTCCTTTTTAAATTTTGTTTTTCAGTTGACATTTAATATTATTTTCTGTTAGTTCCAGGTGTACTATCTGTGGCTCCTGTAAAAGAAATCATTAAAAATTTTCAAGGTGCCAACTGTCCTGTTCCAGTGGGTTTACTTGATAGGTGAGGCAGCACACTAGAGGAGTTCCATCCCTGTAGGAACCACTAGCATGAGAGACACAGAAAGCAAAGGTGAGGTAAGGAGACACTTTCTGTATCTTTGAGTGAGTTCTGGAGCAATAAATGGAAAATGTACATTAATTCTCCCTCTCTCCTTCCCTTCCCCTCTAAAGATAAATAAATAAAATCTTTTAAAAAATGACTTAGCCCTTGTGGGTGGGGCTCATTTAATTGCAGTGCCATCCCATACACCAAAAGTTTGCAGGTTTGATTCAGTCAGGGCACATACCTAGGTTGTGGGCTCAGTCCCCCATTGGGGCATGTCCGGGGATGCAACCCAACCGATAGATGTTTCTCTCTCACATTCTCTTTCTCCCTCCATCCCTCCTTCTCCCCCCTTCCTGTCTCTCTAAAATCAATTAACATAGAATGCCTTGGCTGGTGTGGCTCAGTGGATTGAGTGCTGGCCCGCAAACTAAAATCAATTAACATGTCCTCGGGAGAGGACATGTTAAAAATTGGCTTGTGGTGATTTTATGGAGGATCATGCTTCTGACTTTTAAAGCATTTATCAAGTCTCCCTGACGACTCAACTCAGCACTGTGCTGGGTGCTGTCTGGAAGAGATGTTTACTGCATGTTCTTACTCTTAAGAAAATTTCAAACTATATTGGGAGGAAGAATTGCATTTTAAATTGGGAGAGACTGTAAAGATCACCTAGCCTGATTCCATCATGTTTTTGAGAACATAAAAGTATGTTCCAGAAAGATGAAGTGACTTTTCAATTTCAAAATAAGATAAGAGATTTCATTTTAGAAGCCAGAGTTCTTGATTTCTAGCCTAACCAAGTATACTACTCTTTTTCACTAAGTCATTTATTCATGCAACAAATTTGCACTGAGTGCCTACTATGTGAAAGTACTGTTCTAGGCACTCATAGTAAATCATGCTACTTTTTCATCTGTATTTGTCTCTGGAGAATAATAGTAAGATTCACAATCCTCTCAGCATTCAATGAACAGAGTTGACGGACAACTGAGTGTGGCTTACAGCTGGACCATCCACTTTCAATTTATAGTCATTTATTTTCTTAGTGCCTGAGGGAAGAGGAAATAAGTGGTAGACTAATATATGAAGCAATTAGAGAGTGATATATATCATAGAGTATATAATTACATGCTGAATTGCGTTGCATGTCTCTAAGTGTAAGTGAATTTACAGGAGCCAAGGCTCAGTACAACACAGAAATCTTAGAGAGAAAAAAGTCTTCCAACAATAGTCACATGCTTCTGACTTCTTTGAGTAAGTTCAGCAAATATTTATTGGGCAGGCACTGTCCTAGGTGTCCGAGGTATGAAAAAAAATAAGACATGGTCTCTTTCCTCTCCCAAAGCTCACTGTCTTTTGGGAGAGACAAAAGCACATATGATTTCTTTTTCTAAAGATTTTATTTATTTTTAGAGACAAGGGAAGGGAGGCAAAAAGAGAGACAGAGAAACATCATTGTGTGGCCTTCTCCCATGTGCCCCCCCACCAGGGACCTGGCCCAAAACCCAGGCATGCGCCCCAACTGAGAATGGACCTGGTGACCCCTTGGTTCACAGGCCCACACTCAATCCACTGAGCTACACCAGCCAAGGCACTACATGTAATTTCAATATAATGGTGGTAAATAATGAGAGAGTTCTGGCCAGGATATATGAAAGCAGAGGTGAGCTTAACCGAATCAAAGGGTAAGTAAGGTAAAGCTTCTGAGAATTTCCAGGCTGACACCTGAACTGAATCTTGAAGGCTGCCAGGTCCTAGTTAGTCCAAAAGAGTTGTAAAAGGGTTTTAGGAAGGAAGAACAACCTGACTAAAGAAACAAAGGCCTTTTGTCTTTATCTCACATATCAGAAAAACTGGAAATATTGAATAGCTACTCTTAAATGGAATAAATGTCAAATCACGGGTTTTACACCCCAAACTAGTGCTATGCTATATTGTGTGTTAACTACACTATAATAAATAATAAAAAGAAGAAAAAGACAATTTTCGTCTTTGAGGAACTTAGAATCTGGAGGAAGAAGAAAAAAACAAATAGTAACAACAACAAACCCCTGAAAAAGTTACTTCCATTATCCTTAGTTTACAAATGAGGAAATTAAGGCACAGAGAGGTTAACCTGAAACTAGTTGTGTCTAGGCCATCTGGTTTTTGCCTTCCAGTATGGATTCTATCTCATTGTGAATATTAGTGCTCTACAAAATTTATCTATGTATAATCCCTCTAATTTTTAGATTTATTATAATAACATTTGCTATTAGATCTGTCTGCTCATGTTTTTTAACCAACAGCCAAGAGAAGCAAATATGCTCAAGATCATCCAGGGCCCAATGGCAAAGCCAGTTATTAAAGTAAGTGTCCTCCTAAAACATATGTCTAAGAATAATATTGATCAGAATGAAATCTCTCAAGTACTCAGATGGGATTGATGAAATGCCCAAGTGATATGCTTTTTTCCCCTTGTTTTCAACTTGATGGCTGCAGGTTAATGGTTTTCAAACTTTTTTTTTTTTGTATATCACAGTCTTACCTGGGAAGCTTAAAATATAGTTTCTGGGCCTCATTTCACTCTATGCCAGAATCATTGTAGCAGAGATCAGCTGCTGTGTTCTTAACAAATTCCTGAGATGATTTAATTCCATTCCAATTCCACTTCTCCCATTCTTCATTACATTCTCTCATCCATTGTCCACGATCTTTAAAAATATTTATTGAATACCTACTCTAGTCCAGGCACAGAATTCTATGGGCTGGGAACAGAGCAGTGAACAGGACAAAACAAAGCTCTTATGCAGATGGAGACAGATAAAAACACATAAACATAAGAGTAAGAGTCAGTTAGCAGTGATAAAGAGCTTGACTAATGGGGTCAAAACAAATATACACTGATACAAGGTTCTTCCTCTTCCTAGCGGTGTGACCTTGGGCAAGTTACTTAATTGCTCAACAGTCTCTCTTCCTCTGCAAAAATCTGACTAATAATATTCCCTGCCTCAAGGGGCTGTTGTAAGGGTTGAATAAGATAATGTGCATAAGGTACTTAGCATGGTGCTTAGCCCGGTGCTTAGCTCATTTCCCAAAGACAGTTAGCTCTTATTATTTTGCAAGTACCGGCACTATAAAGTTTAATTACTTCTCCGGTATTGCCATCAATATGGAGTTCAGTTTCTGGGTTTATTCAACATTCAACAAACATTTTAGAGATGTCCACATGCCTCTAAAGCATTTCCCCTGCCACAGTAGTACATTTTCTGGGCAGTTTTTGTACCATACCCAGTTTCAAATTGCTAAACAAGGGAGATACATTAACAACAAAGTCTCCCAGAGACCCCAGCTCCTCAGTTAGGTATCTGAGTAGCTCTATAGGCTGGACAGAGTTAAGAATGTTATGAAACCTTACCAATATAGTAAGTGGAAGTTAAAATAAATGACAACCACAAAAACTAAATAGAAGAGCATAGGGGCCAAGTGCTGGGAACCAACATCAGCAGGTAGATCTATCAAGTGTTATGGCTGTTAAGGATACAAAAAAAAAATCTGGCCTTATATTTGTTGGGGCAAAACCATTTCCATATGTTATCATCTGTTCTTGTGCCCCCAAACAAATTTGCAAGTAATATTAATCTCATTTGACTGATGTGTAAACTAAGGCCCAAAGAAATCAAATGAATAGCACAAGGTCATTCTGCTAGTTAGTGGAAGGCCAGTGCCTCAAACCCAGGTCTTCTGATTCTTATGCAGCATCTCACGCACACACACAAAAAAAAAAACAAAAAAAACCCAGAAATTTATTTTGTCACAAAAACATTTAAAATGCGAGGCATCTCTCGTGGAGGCAGCTAACGCGAGGCTGGCGCCCAGACTAGCGAACAATACAGTCAGGATGGCTAAAGGTGATCCCAAGAAGCCAAAGGGCAAGATGTCTGCTTATGCCTTCTTTGTGCAGACATGCAGAGAGGAACATGAGAAGAAAAACCCAGAGATTCCTGTCAATTTTGCAGAATTTTCCAAGAAGTGCTCTGAGAGGTGGAAGACAATGTCGGGGAAAGAGAAATCTAAATTTGATGAGATGGCAAAGGCAGATAAAGTACGCTATGATCGGGAAATGGAAGACTATGGGCCAGCCAAAGGAGGCAAGAAGAAGAAGGACCCCAATGCCCCCAAAAGGCCACCGTCTGGATTCTTCCTATTCTGTTCAGAATTCTGGCCCAAGATCAAATCCACAAACCCTGGCATTTCTATTGGAGATGTGGCAAAGAAACTGGGAGAGATGTGGAATAACTTGTGACAGTGAAAAGCAACCTTACAACAATAATGCTGCAAAGCTGAAGGAGAAGTATGAGAAGGATGTCGCTGACTATAAGTCTAAAGGAAAATTTGATGGTGCAAAGGGTCCCGCTAAAGTTGCTCGGAAAAAGGTGGAAGAGGAAGACGAAGAAGATGAGGAAGAAGAGGAGGAGGAAGAGGAGGAAGAGGAGGAGGAGGAATTAAAAAAAACTGTTTATCTGTCAAAAAATTTTAAATGCTTAATCCCCCCACTTTAGAAATAAAGAATAAGAAATATAAAATATATCCAATGTACAAAATGCAAATAGACTTTAGTTACATTTAAGTGCCATTTACAGCACTTGTTTTTCAACTAGTTACAGTGTAATTTTACACTTGTTTATGTGATTACTTGATTAAGATTTGTCTCTGCCACTACACCAAGATGGACCCTGCCTGTTTTCATCTAACACATACTTGATGAATGAATAAATGATGCATTGGTGTTGATTACTGCCAGAAGGGAAGTCATAGACCTGTAGGTAGATTTAGCCTTTGCTCTAAGCAGGAGCAGAAATGCTAGTGGCATTTTACACAGAAATACCAAAGATGGAAAAAGGAATTACCTTTTAGTTGCTGGACAGGATGAATTTGCTTGTATTGAACTTAGTGATTTAAGCTCAAGGACAGGCTGATCTAAGAAGAGCAGATGCAGTTGCTAAGCAGTTGTCTGCAGGATTCAGTGTAGTCAAGAGATTGTATCAATTCTACGAAAAAGAATGGAGGGCAGCTGCTTAATATGTGGCCCTGAACAATATGCATCAAAGTAACTAGCCAGTTTAAGAAGGCCGATTTCTGCACCCAAACATTTAGAATGAGGGTGCAAAGTCTGTATGTTTAACAAAGCTTCTCAAGTAATTCTCACTTCCACAGTTTAAGAATTCCTGGGGTGAAATAACAATAGAGCAGCAGAGGGTCTAAAACTAGGTCTACAGTAAAGCCAGCATTATAAAGTAAGAAGGGAAACCTACAAAAGAGACTGAAATCACACCTACAGAGAGCCAGAGTTAGAGTCCTTGTTACAAACTGAGAAAGGTGAAAGTTTAAGAACAAGTAAACAGCCAAAAAGTGTTCAACACAACAGACATATCAAGAATGAAGGTGGAGAAAAGGTCCGAAGATGGAATCCAGATTTTGGGGGAGCCTAGACCTGTCCTGCAAGACCCAACTCAAAACATTTCCTTTCCAAGAAGGTATTTCCTGCTCTGCTGGACAAAGTTCATCGATCTTTGTAGTATCTTCTTCTATTACACCATTTTACCTACTGTAATGCAATTCTGTTTTCTTCCCCATTACAAATACCTGATTTTCTACCTCAGACTGAGAATTTCTTGAAGACATAAAATGTGTCTCATTCCTTTTCGAATCACCAATGTCTGGCATAATACCTAGCACACAGAAAATATCTGCAAATGTCTGCTGAATAAGTGATGGGAGAGCAATTGGAAGCAAAGAATACAATCTGGCAGTGAAGGTAGAGGAATCCTATGTGCTTAAAGGCAAATAAGAGCTGGGCAATTTGTGCTACTGGAGCTGGGAACAAGTTGGAAATCAGTTCTTCCAGAGTACAGAAAAAAATGTGATTAAAACCACAGCTCTGGCTTTAAAGAGTAGAAGGACAATAATTTTCCTGAGTCTTGAAGGAAGCAAAAGAAAATAGGTGTACAATATATGAGGTCTGTCCGGAAAAAGACCAACCATTTTGAATATAATAAGAATAGTTCATGTGACATTGTTGTAACCTGGCAACCAAGGAAAGTGGACTGGAATGTGCATGCGTGAACAATGACAACTTCACTGAACTAGGCAATGGAGGTGGTGGACACCCTTCAGTGAGGTGAGCATGTGTACTGTGTGGCTGTCACATCCAAAATGACTGCGAATAGATTCACAAGTCTATATCAAATTTTGCATTAAGCTTGAACATTCCCTCTTCAGAAACTATCCAGATGATTCAGAAGGCCGAAGCTATGGGCAATGAGTGATTGGCTGCTTCATCATGACAATGCTCCTGCTCATGCATCATGCATTGTGCTGAGTGTTTTGATAAAACATCAAATCACCCAGGTGACTCAGCCCCACTACAGCCCAGATTTGGTGCCCTGTGACTTGTGGCTTTTCCCAAAACTAAAATCACCTTTGAAAGGAAAGAGATTTCAGACCATTGATGAGATTCAGGAAAATACGACGGGGCCACTGATGGCAGTGGGAGAACTGTGTGGTCCCAAGGTGCCTGCTTTCAAGGGGATTGAGGTGCCATTGTCCTATGTACAGTATTTCCTGTACCTTGTATCTTCTTCAGTAAATGTCTTTTTTTCATATGACATGCAGAGATGCTTTCTGGGCAGACCTCTTATAGCTTAGCTCAGATGGCCCTACTCTAAGTCAGGAAGATAAGGTCTTTGCTGAGAATGAGGTACAAAAAATGGGATCTAGAGCTTGAAGAAAAAGACTGGAAGAATGCTGGTGGGAGTGTACTGGCGACTCAATAAGAGATTAAGAGATCCTGTGCTAAGGTCCTCAGCATTATCTTTTTTATCTCTCCTCAGGCATTGATAAGAGCCTGCTATCTCAATCCGACTCCTTTCTGTAGCCCTTGAAAGAACAGGCCGCATCTTATCAATTGTGCTAATTGGAACTGGCCAGCAGACATGGGGACTGAAAGTAACTAGAGTCACTCTTCTCTTCCTCTTCTGAACTTCATGCACTTCCTTTCAAACTTTCAAGGCACTTATGACAATGCATCTCCTATGATAGCTATTTGTGTTTTCCTTGTTAGACTAAAGAGGTGAGGGCAAACGCTGTGTCTTATTCTGTGTGCAATGTACCTTACCATAGTGCTTTGCACATAATAGGCAGAGAATGTCTGTTTCAGGCAAACAACTCTGGTATAGCATTTATCACTACGTACTGAATTTAGTTATTTTAAATTTTTAAAAATTGATGAGCGATTGAGAGATTTGTTGTTCTACTTATTTATGCCCTCACTGGTTGATTCTTGTATGTGCCCTGACTGGGTATTGAACCCATAACTTTGGTGTATCAGGACAATGCTGTAAGCAACTGAACTACCCAGCAAAGACCATACTGTATTTGTTTGCTTGCTTGTGTGCCTTTATAGAACGTGAGCTTAAGGTCAGGAATTGAGTCAATGTATGTCTCTCTCATGTTTGAAAATTAGTACTTTTGCAGATGTTTATTGAATCAAATTTTGTAGAAATGAATGCATGGATCATGCGATGAATCAAAAAATAGTAAAATGTGGGCATGTGGGGGGAATCTAAAACAATGACAGTACATAGGCAGTATATTTTGTTATTTACACAATCATCAGTCTCATTTTCAAATAAGTAAATATGTAAAGCTGTTGGGAAATTGTGCTATTTTCAAATACACTGTGTTTGGAATACACGTTCTGGGTTTTAGCAAATCTCCAGCCAGTCCCTTTCATGGTACAAGGCTTGAGTGAAAGGGCTAAGGGTCCCATGCAGGTAAATGATTGATGTGTTCACTTTTATTAGGTTCTGTTTATATGGGATACAAGTCTACATCAACATGGTTACTGTTTTCTTGAGGATTACAATTTAAGGTTGACATTGCAGGGGAAAATGTAAGAAATGAAACAGGATTGTATCAGAACAATGGAAATGCATTCCTCCTCCCACCCATCCCCTTTACAGGAAAAGTAACAAGTAGTTGAAGGACATCTTTCATTTTCATTTGTTTGTTAGGCCTCCCCCCCCCCCAACCATGGCTTGCACTCTGTGGATCGAGTTGAAAATAATCAAAGGTGACCCTTACATAGGGCATACTCTCTGCCCAAGTATTCTATGTGATTTACATACATTAACTCATTTTTCTTAACAACTCTAGGAGATTTGGACGTGTTGAAACTGAGCAGAAAGAGGTAATGCACTCTGTTCAAGGTCATAGAGCTAGAGGTCGGGAGCAGGGATTCAAATCCAAGCATTCTGACTTCATACATCGTTCAGGTGCCTGGTTGGCCTGTGTGAGGTATAAAGAAAATCACTTGTCTTTTCTGATTATGACAATGTCAGCATTTATAGAGGGCTTGTTATATGCCAGGTCCGTCCCCAATAGACACTCGCATCATCTCATTTCTTCTGCACAATAAATCCGTTAGTCACTATTTCTATCCCCATTTTAAATACCAAAATATTAAGGTATAGAGATTAAAATGATTCATCCAAGCACTGAGATCCAGGCAGATTGATTCCAGTACGAGGTTCTCAGTACTTCCCAGCAGTAAATGAGAGAACGGAGGACCTCAAAGGGATGCCACGAGAGTACAATGAAATAATGGATGTGAAAAGGCCTCAGTGAACAAGTGCAAGGGATAAGGCCTACCCATATAAATCACTGTTGAAAACTGGTTACCCAGCATCCCTATTCAACGGTTTCTAGTTCCAACCCTGATTCTTTTCAGCCCAATCCACAGCTATAGCTTCGAATCTTTCTGCGTCTCGTCGGATCCTGCCTGCAAACACTTGGCTGAGCGACGGACCGGAGAATAGAAGGTACACGCGCGAGCAGGAGGCGGGGCCCGTCGCCCAGATCCAAACTGGGGGCGGCATTTGCACAGGCGCCCTGGCTCCCCAGCTTCAGCAGTCCCTCCTTTGCAGCCAATCAGGACCTGCGGCGCATTCGGGCGTATTAACGCCCTGTGAGTCGTTGCGTGAGAGGGGGGGGCGACGTAAGGGCGCTCTGCGAGCCCGTCTCCTCGAATGAAAGGAAACAACCTCCGGCGACAGAGCCTCGCTCTTAGGCGCTGCTGGAGAACGGAGACCGACTTCTTTCTCTTTCGCCTCATTGGCGCTTCTCTCCTGCCGTTTGCCTCCGGGCCGCACTGGTGAGTCCCCACAGTACCCTGGGCCCCCCCCATTCTCTGTCTGGCGGGAGAAGACAAGGAGGATGGCGGTGGCCAGGCCGCCGCCCCTGCCCGTTGTTAAGGGGGAC